TATATATATATATATATATATGCCTTCACAGGCCTGTTCTAAATTTGAACAGAGTCGAGATTTCAGCAGTTGAGAAGAACCAAACGGGACTTTTATGAATCTGCACTGGCGTGACAATGGGTACATTTGTTCTTTGTGCACAGCTGCAGAGAAACAGGATCAAATCGGCAAAAACATACTGTCACTTTAATGAAAGGAGCGCACACAAACATACAGTTCATTATAAAAGGCTTACACAGAGACCAAGAGCGGGGATGTACACAGCGGAGGCTCAACTATCAAATTTTGTAAACCAAATCAAATCTCAGGACAAATATTCTTTGAAAGACATATATTTAAATTGAAGAAGCGTGATGTTCTCACACGAACCCCGTGAATGACCAGCTCACAGCTTGTTGACAAACGCACGACACTGTAGGTTACATGATTCCAATAAAGCTCCGCCGAACTGTGCAGAAATTAGGGAGGAGGGGACAGACTGTCTGAGGAGAGAGGGGGAAAGGAGACAGAATGAAAGAAAGGAGAAAGCGAAGGAGAGAGAGCAGTATATTATGAAAGACACCGAGTAGACTTATCGTACCAACGCCTCTCTGTCTGCAGTCAGTCGAAGACGAAGAAAAAGAGGAAGGGGGGAAACCCGTTGTAGGGCGACCTCTGAGCGCATCTTACGCCCTGCATCTCACTAACACACACGCAGTGAAGACTTGTGTCACGGGACTAAAACGCCTGTGTAACTTGGAACACTGTGCCCGAGAGTTGCCGTGGGTGGAAATGAACTCTGAAGGTGGGCTTCGTGTCGGCGCATTCACCGTAAGAATCGGCGCTTCTGCTCATCACCAGTCCACATGAGAAGTTTGACAGGAGCAGGTTGAAGGGAGTCTACCAGTGCTTCCGATAGGCTGTTCACTTTGCAGGCTGCAGCTCGCGGTCGGAACTCGACCACTGCTCCACAGGACACTGAGGTGAGTTGGGGGTTTTTAACAGTTGCTGTTGTTTTGTAAGCTGTTGTGGGCTAAGTCAAGTCAGACTTTTAACATGTCTGCATTCGATTAAATTCTCACGCTAAATGCCAGCAATTCATTTTAAAACACATCAACCTAGAGTTTCATCAAAGAAATTGAAGTTTATGTAACCTGTAGTGATCGGGACTAGTTAACAGTAGTGACCTATAAGACGTGCAGGGAATTGTGTATGTGTGTGTGTGTGTGTGTGTCACAAAGCACCTGCAGTACCTGCATGGCATCCTGACAAAGGAGCCATACAGCAGGATCCTGAGTTTTAACTTGCTAGAGGTGTTTCATGCACTAAAAGATGTTCCTTTGATGAAGTTTGACCTGCTTGCGTTATGAAATGCTTTAAAATGCCACCTTAACTAATGTCTCAAAAAGGACGTTCGTAAATTGCAGGAATAGCGCTTGGGGACATTAAGCCCTCCTGTAGGTACTAGAAGCTTTCAATTTGAGTAGATCCTCCTGATTTACTGCCTAAGCAGTTATAAGGATATTGTTGAAACAGATGTGCAGGGTAACTGGTGGGTGCTTTAATTTGTGTTCAAACTATAGCAAATATGATGGAGATATAATCCAAACTTAACCATCATTTCCAAACTTTTCCTAACACCAACCACAACATCTAAATCCAAATAATCCAGACATTTAATATTTTCATTACCTGAAATCTTAAGCTGTACACGGTTTAACCTGTACAAAGTGTTATTTTTACATAGGCAGAAAAATGCCGTAAGTGTGGTGATTCATCTATGCACTTTACTGCAATTCTCATCCAGCTGGTGACATGGACATCATAAAGGCATGATCAGATTTGTTATTGTTAATTTCCCACGATGTTGCCTGCCTTCAAGCTGCACCTTTGATTACTGGAAGGAGTCGTTCGTTTCTGTTTAGATTTCTGCTCTGCGCTGAGATTTTGCATGCAGAATACAAGATGAGGACACATATGTCTATCATGCTAATAAGGAACAGATAAAGAATGAGGCTTGATGAGCGAGAGGGCAGCACATTCAGTCAGTCACAGCTTGTGTCGGGTGTATATGGTACATGGTATATTGTTTTATTTAAAAAGAAAGAAACGTTTGTGTAGACATGTGTATATTCGGGAATGATACAGGTATGCGAAGTGCAAAAGTCCTCTTAGTGGTCTAGTGGATAGTGGAAGCTCACTAGAAGCTCAGTTTGTTTGTATCAGAATTATATTTGTATGTGATTTGAACATTTCTTTCAATGCTGACTTACAAGCCAGCCTATTAACCCAGAGATTCAGAAGCTGAAGTCATCCTCCTTCAGCAGTGATTCTGTTTAGGTAATTTAATGAAATATGGCACAATAAAGCCAGATTAAATGCTATTTAGCTGAGTAGCTGACTAACGTATATCTTTTTTGGGACGCTGTTTTATGAACTCAGTCATCTACTGTTGGTCAAATTCCTTGAAAGTAGGTCAGACCTGTTGCAATAAGCCAGCTCATTTTAGTCTGTTCTAAATAAAAGAGCCAATCAGAGAGAAATGTAAATGTGTTACATGTAATAGTAATAACAGCAGTGTCACTGACATAAATGCTAAGAGCAATGAGTTTGTGTTATTTTCTGCAAAGCGATCGTCAGCTCGCTTCCCTGGAGCAATTACATTCACTGTTTCACATGACTGCTGAAATGGACTGAGGAGGGAGGAGAAGGCAAAACGTGAAATAAGCAAGACAAATGCGAGGAGCTCGAGATAAAGAATTCATACACAGGCAGAGAAAAGGGTCAGAGAGGGACCAGTGAAAGAGATTTAAAAGGAAAGGATAAACACAGCATCCGTTATTTTATTTCTCCACCTTTAGAATTGCCTTTTTGTTTTCAGTATACTCACGAAGAACAACCATAGTATTCTAGTTTGCCATGCAAGGCATTGCCTGCAGACGACAGCTTTTTAAAAAACTTTTTTTTGATTCACCAGAATCTAAAAACACCTTTCATTCCTGATTTACACTCACAGCTTCATATAAAAATGTACAAGAATGAACAACATTATAAAATGCTGCCGTCAAAAGTTATAGACTTATTAAGAAAAAAAACACCACCACTGTGGGGCTTTTACAGTGAATCAGCTGTTTTCACAAAGTGTTGATTTGTCATCAGCCAGTGAGACAAATGAGACAAATAAAAAGAAATAAACAGATTTAGACAAAGAGGGCTCTGTCTTTAGATTTATTGTAAAAACTGGGACATAAAAATCTTTGCATAGAGCTATAAAACACCCGAATGGTTAGCACAAGCATGAGTATATTATGGGAAACCGATTCTGTTTTTTGGTTTTACTCACACAGATGATGCTCATATCAGTAGTTCTATTCTGCGCGACACTACACGCAATGACCTGGCACTCCAGCAGTGCCTGGATAGGTTTGTTATGGAAAATCCCTAACAAGACTGGCGATAACGGTACATGTACTGTGTGTATTTTACATGCTTGCTAAAAATGATGAGGTTAAGTGTGTGGATTGTACTGTGAAGTATTCAACAGCAGCATGTTGACTCTGCTCTGATGTATCTAAAAGGAGATCTCAGGGACGTTTTATTTTTTTCTTTTAAGTTCTGAACTTTTGGATTATGTGGCATTAAATACAAAATAACAACTAACTACTTAAATAAATAACAGTTAGAGCCTGACCACTTTATTCACCAGTATTGGCTATTTGTATTGGTGTTTAGAAATGAAATTTTTTAAAGTGAAGAATGGATGAGGCAAACGCCCTTCAACCATGTTACTTGTGTTGACACAGCATAGTGTGTCCTCTACAGAACTCTGCAATTTCCCTGTTTAAATACATACCTTCAGCAGATGCGAATGCAGTTAGGCAACATGTAAGTGAGTAAATACAGAGAATATTGGATTTTTTAAACCAAATATCAGCATCAGTTTTATAAATCCAACATTGGTCAAGCTCTAATATCATCTATCATCTAGTATAAGTACTTTAAAGTCTCAGTGGATAAATTAAGGCAAATACTTACTTTCCTCAGGCCACAGTGTGGCCACTTGATGGGCAGGTTACTGACAGTAGAGGCAAGCCGGAGTAAACCTAGATCAGCAGTTTAGTGGCGGGCACGTGGCGGTTATCATCATCTATCATTAGTCATCATTGTTCTTTCAGCTTATTTCTGACGCATTTTCTCCAAGTTTATAGAAAACCTTCCCACACCGACAGCATGCATTTTTGGCCCCCAGAAGCAACTGTTTATCTTCTAGGAAATCAAATTACCTCTGATATGATATCATTTCAGTGCACTGAAGTTCTTAGACATAAGATTACAGTCTTAACATGCCTCATAGCTGAGTTTATGCTTCATTGTATTCTGTCTTGTGGTCTGTTACTACCCATATAATACAGCAGGGTGTGTAGTTTGATATGTTTGAATGTTTCGTTTAAAGATAAAAACATATTGTGGTTTAATATAACTAACTGAAGAAAAAAAGTATTTGTTTCTTCTGAGAATCCAGAAGTCATCACCTTTTATTTGGTATTTCAGTTTTAAGCTTACTAAAACAAAATTCAGAAACCTGTTTTTCTTTAATGTTTTGTTATGTTTCTAGGATTATGAGTTAGTTTCCTCTCTGCCAGCCGCCAAAGACATGTTTCTGTTTTTTTGTGTGCTGAGGATGAGAAGTGGGTCACATGCTTGAATTATCCATTTGCAGGGTTGCATGCCTCAGTGCCAAGAAATTGCAATACGTGGGAGACCTCTGCTAAGAAGAAATACATTTGTGGAGGATGGAGGAGAGAACTGAGGAAGGACACACACAGGAGAACGGAGGCAGTGATTGTGCAGCCAGACAGCCTCGCACCTCTCCCTGCACCAGTCTGAGGGTACACACAAACTGCCATGTCCTCTTTGTAGATGTAGTGAGTGTGTAAGTGTGTCTGCTGTGGAGTCACATGCTCTCTCTGTGTACGCTTTCAGACATGTCTGTGTGTGGAGACCAGAAATAACTAAATAACTAAATTAGAGCAGTCCAATAATCCAGCAAGCCTCTTCCTGCAAGAATGATGTGCAGTACAGCACGTACCCTTTCATTTTTTAAATATGGAAACAGAGTATATGAGACAAAAGGCCATTCAAAGCTCTTCTTTGGATGTTGCCTGCCTTTTATTCCATTCTCTGTCGAGATGATCACACACTGATTCAATAATATTAAGGTCCGGGTTCTTGGGAGACCAATCCATGACTGATAGTGTTCCACTGAGTGCTTTTCTCTCCAGGTGTGCTTTTATTGCACTGGCAGTGTGTTTGGGGTCCTTGGCATGCTTAAAAACAAAGCCTTGGTAAATCAGACACTTTCCAGATGTTATTTTATGGTGGATCCAAATCTGATGGTACTTTTATGCGTTCATAATTTTGACAAGATCCCCAGCACTACTGACTGAAATGCAGTTGCAACCATGACAGAGCTTCCACCGTGTTTTATAGCTAGCCTTTCTCTCTCCTGATCTCATCTGCGTATTCTGACAATAATTTGAACCAAAAGTTTCAAATTTGGATTTATTACTCCAGAAAACCTGGTTCCTGTTCTTGTGTAACCTCATCTCAGCATTTCTGATGAAACTTCAATGAAACTTTTCAGGTTCTGTGTCAAGCCTTTGAGTTTTAGGCCTGCCACTTGTCCAGTTTTCTTAATGACACACAGCGCACCAGGCAGACACATGAATACATTTTCAGCTAACTGCCCTTTGGGAATCACCTTGTTAATGCAAAAAAAAAAAAAGCAAAACTTAGCTTTGTATACCTTCAGCTAACGAAAGAAGAACAAATTATGTGTTTTTGCCATTGCCTTCTAGATTCAAAATTAGCTCTTTGCTAAGCTATGTAATAGAAACACAACACGGGTTCATGTTTTGCATTAGGTTCCTTTTTTATACTTGAATGATTCACGGGTCAGTGTTAAGTGGCTTAATGAACAAAAGAGAAAAACATTCCTCTGAAAATGGTCAGGTACAAGGACTGGACTGAAAATGAGTAAAACAAAGCAACAATGTCCAAAGAAAAACTTTGAAAGACCTTCAGGAAGCCTGGAGGATTAATGCTCAAGAGCTTTAAGAATACTACAACTCTGGGTCCTTGGAAGCAAAATGTAAGAAAAGGAACTGGGGCTCAAGACTTATACACCGTACTCCATGTGTGCATGACGAATACTGTATTTAATAAATTTTGACCTTTCTTTCTTAATAAAAGAGCACAACCGATTGTCAGAGGGAATGAATGAATCATCTCTGTCTTCTACTGAATATGCTGTCCCTGCAGTTTCACCGTTGATCTGTTCATGGCCATAATCTCTGTCTGTATTAGTTTGAAACTTTTCGTCTCTTGGATTTCACTTGTTGAGGAGTTTCATCATCTCAAAGCACAGAACAACACCTTGTAACCACAAAACAATTTTCCAATCTTTGCAGTGCTTTCTTCTTTCTTTTCCTCACAAAACATGTAAAATCAGCCACCTAATAGCAATTATTCATCTTAACAATATTGTCTATAAACACTAAACACTCCTGATTTTTTGTTGTTGTTGAGCAGTAAAAGTCATCCAAGGATAAAGACGCTCAAATCAAGCATTCTCAGGGTAGTGATTTTTTAAATGATTATTTTTTTTACAGTAATCTCCCTCCCGTGTCTTGTTGTTGCTACAGTAAAAATGTAATAATGGCTATTCAAATTTTGTTGAGGTGAAATTAACAAAAATAGCACAGAGCAAGATGCAAATCTCATATTGTTGCATAATGACCACCTCAGGCTTTCCATCTCAGTCTTTCCCTTCTCCTGACTTAAGCGTTTATATAACATAAGAAAAACTTCCAATTTGCTCAAAGCATGTCTCTGCCAACAACATGAAAGTTATAAAACCTTAAATTAGATCAGACAGCGTTGTTTCTTTTTCCCCACTTGAAAGTGATGTGAGACAATGGTGTTCAAGCAGCTTATCATAATACAGACTGCAGTGGCAGGACAGACTTACTTCTTCTCAGAATTGTTTGGTTCCCTGACCGGCAGGGTGGGACATGGCACAGCCCGTTTCAACTCCGATCAGGTGCTCAGTGTTATTCTCTGCTTTTTGTTAAATCCACCGGAGTCTCAAACTTTGGTGTCATAACGCCTCAGTTTTTTGTTACTTCTAAATCATTCTTACTTTCTAATCGTGTATAGTTAACTATTTTATTCTTTTGGATCTCACTGTTAGATTAGAACAAAAAATCCTAAAACCTCTTTCTGTGTGTGTGTCAGACGCCTTTGTTAGTTTAAGCGTATTAGGTGGATGACATCAAATGAGCCAAGAACAAAAGCAGGTCACAGGTCACGAGGAAGCTTTTGCTTCAACTTTCACACAGACTTAATGTGAATGTCTTTTTAGTGATTTCTAATCATGTCGAGGCCACTGCTTATTTGCCACTTGGTGGAACACCGGTTTGGAGGTCACAATGCTTGCCATTGTTGAAAAATCCCAAAACAAGCAGGATGTTATTCAGAAAGAAAAGAAGTCCGTTACCACGTTTATACTTTTGTTAAATTGTTAGGATGTCTTACTCACGAAGGAATTATCAGTTCCTGATGACTAGGTCTTTTGAGTGCCTATTGTACTTTTTATTATACAAGCAATTACCTTCATTGTCAGTATTATCTGTAACAGAATGAGGTGTATTACGGTTCTTTGGCTACTTCTTTTAGAGAGATGTTGTGTCATTGGGTGTTTTCACACATTACATAATTTACTGGTTGTGTAACAATGCAGTTTAACTTGATGATCAATTTCATTTAAGAACATTTCTTTTACAATCCTACTTTAATTCTGAAAAGCATGCTGAATAACTGTACCAAATAATTCAAAAAAATATGAATTATGCTAAGAGTTGACATGCATCAGACATCTGGCTCAACTTCAATGAGCTCTACGCTGGTACCACATTAAAGAGAATGGGTAAACCCATGAGTTACTTGGAAAAATGCAGAGGTGCATAGAGACTACTTTTTATAAATACATCTCCAGGAGATTTTGCCACTCACCAAAATACAAACACTTTGATTTTAGCTGTTACTGAACATAAATAAAGAACTTTATGACTGCAGTAAAGTCAACTTGTGTCTCAATAAAAGTGATATTTGGTGTGAGCTTGAACTAACACAGACACAGTGCACTGACTCCAACTGATTTAAATGCGACTTAGATGAGAAACAGTCATGTGTGACACAGAGGCTTAATTCCCTCTAAGTGTCACTGCTGATTGGTGGCAAGGAGCCTTCGCTTGGTGGGAAAAAAATGTGTATGCATGCTTGCTTCATCCCCACCATTAAATGTCATGTCATGACCTACTGGTGTTAATGCTCTACAGCTAGCACTGGCCGGCATGATCTCACCTCACATTGATGGGGTCCCTCAGTCTATCCTGCTTCTAAGGATAGGTGCTGACATAAGACATATTATTAGTCACAGTCTTAAACTCATTATTATCTTAACATATCATGTTAAATATACTCAGAGTTACTTCCATCTGTAGTTTTACAACAACTGTTTCCAATAAAGCGACTACTAAATGGTCAAAAAGGCCAATCTGTGATCTCAAATCAGATTTGTTATAAAACATCAAGTAATAGCAAAGTACACAAGAAAAGGACATATAGGATATTAAATGAATGTGTTGTCTCTAAGCAATAAATCCATAATAGCCCTTCATCAAATTATAATTTAGGTGCTTTCAGAGTGAGTCTGCGAGCTCTGTTTGCAGGATTTAAATCATCTAGCAATCACAAAGTCAATTACAAGTCTTTTCACACATGATCGAGTGAGGCCTCTAAACAGAGAAAAAGTCCATACAGGAACTAAGATGTGGCAGCAAGTTCCAAACTTTCATTTGGTAAAGTGGGACTTTCTGCTAAACAACTTCAAGAACGTACTTTCTTTATGTGCACAAGCAACTTTAGGTAGTACTCTTGTGACAGATATTTGCATTTTGTTTGTCCCGTTTCAATTCTCTGCAGCATCTGTGGCATGCAAAGGCTTCTTCTAGTCCTCATTAAATCATGACAAAGTTGATTATACAATATTAACTTAAAAACATTAAGGCATCATAGCATAATTGTTCTCTATTAGTATTACTGACGTCTAGCTGCAGTTTCTTAACTCTGCTAGCTTATTAAGGGCATTAGAAACCGGCACTGATTAACACAATTAAATAACTAGGATTAGCCCTTAACCTTATGATGTTATGCCAGGATTGTTAAGGCGTCCCCTGTGTGTCTCCGTGAGTCGTCAGAGTACTGTGGTGCATAAATAAACATATCAACAAACATTTCTTCAGATGTAATTTTAGATTTACATATTTATACTCACTGGCCACTTGATTGTGTAAATTGCTAGTACTTGATTGGACCCGCTTTTGCCTTCAGAACAGCTTTAATTCTTTGTGGCATAGATTCACCAAGAAACTAAAAACCTTGATTCTCCTCTGAGATTTTAGCCCACTTTAACATAATAACATCACACAGTTGGTTTGTCAGCTGCACATCCATGATGCAGATTCTGCCACATGCCAAAGGTGCTCTGTGATCTGGTGACTGTGGAGGCCATTTGAGCACAGAGCACTCATTGTCACATTTAAGAAACCAGATGATTTGAGCTTGTGACTGGGTGCGCTATCCTGCACTGTGATACACTGGAGCCATGAAGGGATGGAAATGGTCAGGAGCAATAGTCAGGTAGGCTGTGGCATTTAAACAATGCTCAGTTGACACTACCAGGCCAGAAGTGTGTCAAGAAAATGTCCCCAACCCCATTAATCCATCACTACAGTGTCAGCTATTGATACGAGGCAGAATGGATCCA